AAATATAATTCTCTGACCGGCTGGATATATAGGCTTCATTTCTCTTACAGGCTGTCCTGTTTCATCTCCTGCCTCCCCACTGTGCTGTGGGTCCAGCCTCCCCAGCTGGCATCTTCTTTAACAGTTATGGGTTGAAGTGGTTTTCTGTCCCCAAACCAGATCCACTTCTGGCGACTGTCCCACGTAAATTCAGGGAGACACGGGCTTGCCAAAACACGGGATGCAAATTTCTGGCGACAGGCAGATGGAATATTGCCTTCATGGAAGAGCATTATTTTCTGTTCTTCACTGTGGGTGTATTTGTATTCCATTATACTGAGCAAGAAGAGCTTTTACTCTTCAGCCTGCCATTAAAAAGCCTTCAAAGAATGTATACAATTTAAAATAACATCGAGTCAAATAACTGTCATTTGTCTTGATGTTTTATTCCTGTTACAGGAAAGCAGCACTTTCCTCCAAAGTGGAAGTCTGTTTATCCCAGCAGTCAACAAGACTGATCTCTTCATTATAAAGTGAACCCATCACTCGCGATGGAGCGACATACGTGCTATTAAATATTAATTGAGTTCCAAGACTCCTGGAAAATTGCTCAGTCTGCACAGTAAGACCTTTTGCCAGCCATTCCTTAATAGGCGCTGGTGTCTTTTTGCCCAGAGACTGCAGCTATTTGGGGAACATATTTTGGAGCTAGTCATAGCCCTTATTTTGCCAGGGTTTGGGGATATTGTGACTCGTCCTCCTAGGTAGCACATCCCGTAGTCTGCTCCGTGTCCACACCTTCAGTCAATAAGTTACATTGGAAGTTGTTTTTTTTTATCTTATGCCAAGTTTGGTCATGATAATACATTATCAAGTGACCTTTTTAAATCTTAACCAGCTTCTTTGAAAAACACTTTTTTCCCCCCCTTGAATCTTTCTATTGATTTTAATGTAAAATAACGCTTTGAAGTTTGCAATTTATAGTCCCCCGAGAGTTAGAAAGTGAAGGGAATGGGTCATATATCCTTTTTTTTTCCCCTTCCCTTCTTTTCTTGCATTAGCCCCTTGAGACAATGCATGCCTTCAAGGCAGCACCTTGTTATTCCACCCCATCGAATGCCACGTTGCATTTGCCAGGGATCAAACCGAAGATGAAGAAAAGATAAGAAAATTGGCCATAATGAACTCCAGAAGCAGCAGGCATTTTCACCATGAACTTGGAAACTCACAGTGGAGAATTGAGCTTTAATTCAAACCAGTCCAAATGCCAAACTGTGAGGCTTTGAAGTCTGTAGAGGAATCAGTGGAAATCCTTTGAGCTAGGCAAAGATACTGATAGACTTTTTTTTTCTTTTCTTTTTTTTTTTTGAAGCCTTAACTCTTTGCATACTTGCCTGCTTTTAGGGAAGAAAGTCCTCTTTCTACGTAAAACAAGCAGAAGGAAAAAAAGCAACATGCTTTTCATTTCTTTTTTTTTGTTTTATTTCAGAATGAGCTGGTGTATGGACTTGATAAAAGCCTGTGCTCTAAACGCGATAATAATTGAGATAGTTGTCCCCATAAATTAGTCTTCTGATGAGTGAATAAATAAATCCCAATGAAACTGATCATTCCCGCGCTGAAAACCCATTTCAGTGTTGTTTTACTCTTCCCGAAAAAGGACGGTAACTTGCATTGATCAGATTTTTTCGACAGATAATTTATTCTGCGAATTTTGCCTTTCCCCTGTTTGCTGTGCAGCGTTGGGTTGGACAGGATAGCCTGACCTCTATAACGTTTATTAATCCTGCTGAGCCCTTTCAAAAGTGAGAACAAGAGTTAAAAACACGAAGCGGGGAGCAACCTTGCCGTGCACTTTGTCACTTATTATCTTCATAACCGAGGGCTGAAATCACCAGCTGCCCTGTCTGGAGGTTGGGTTGACACCATGATTGCTGTATTTTGTATTTTTTTTTTTTAGAGAGGAGCAGGGTGGAGTCACCCTGGTCACTAATAAGATGTGCAGATGGGATCTGGGGAGTTTGCTGCGGGCTTGGCGCTCCTCCACCCCATCGTAGCGGCGGCTCTGCCTGCCCGAGACAGCACGACATTGTAATTTAGCTGGCCATTGGCCGGGCAAAGGTCCCACGGCTGAACTCACCGCCAAACTATGTGGGCAATACAGATTTCACAGATTAGGCAGAGATGTATGAAACTCTTAATGCGAAAAAACGCAGGGCATATTATTTTGGAAGTCCTGAACTCGTCAAAATGTTACTGGTATTCATCGCTGTTTTTCCGTAGTTATAGAAACAAAGGGTTGTAAAATTCAGTGTTGTTTTTTTTCAATGGGTGTCTGTTGTTCCTTTACTTGTTATGCAAGCAGAAACCGTGTTTGCTTCTGTAAATCCTCACGACATTTTCAAAAGCAGAGTGTGCAAACCCAGCTAAGAGACCGGCAGAAAAAAATGCAAAGACTGCAGCTAGTTCCTTATTACACTGGAACAGCAATTACTTAGTGAAATTAAAGTGTGTTATCCACACAAGTTTTCTCCTAAATTTACGGCAAGAAAGTTTTCCTGATGATTCTAGCAGTTGTGTTGTCTCATACAATTTTTTTCCCTACTCTAAAGTATCTTCCACAATTATAATTCCATACACAGCTTGATTCCCTGTTAGTTTTATTTTTATTTAAGGCTCCCTCTTCCTGCCTTTCTTGGAAAGTGTTAACTGAGTTCAGGAGCCAACCTGGGGGGGATTTTGTTTCTTCTTTCGATCCGTAAACCATTTCAGGAGTGAGTAAGAGGGAAGGGGGGAAGTCAATAATGTTTTGCCTGGAACGGTTGTTTCTGTGTTTTAGATTTCATGCTCTCCCGATGCTGATTTCGTCCCCAAATTCCTAATCCCTTTTGACATAGTAAATGACCGTGGAGATGGCTGCTCGGGGAAACAAAGACCGGAGTCTTCAGGAGGCTGATTAGCCTTAGGAGCAGCGGATAATGTTTTTATATGTATATAATATATACAATATACATATATATTTGGCCAACAGTGGGAAAAAGAATCTCTGAAAAAAGTGCTCGGCCTTCTAAGTTTCGCTGATGATTTGCTCACTGCAATTGAGCATTTAACAAAAAAATCCTCTGTAGAATTGTTTAATCTGCCTGTTATTTATTTGGCGTTTAATTGGTGAATTGGTCAGTAACAGACTCAAAATTATTCAATCTTCTGGAAAATAAAGTTGTATTTTCTTTTCTCTCCCAAACGATTGCAGAACATGATCAGTTTTTAGTCTTTGTAGCCGTCAGTATTGACTAGCATGTAGCTGTTCAGTGTAGCTGTGTATTCAGAGTCAGTTGAAAATATTTAATTTATTTTAAGCAAGCAAAACAACCCTCTAAAATTTAGGAAATTTAAAGGTAACTCAGATTTTTAAAAATCCTACATGGCTTAAATGAATATTCGTTGTTATAAACCCTTTCATTCCTTGATGAATAACTCTGCAGCCACCTCAGTCATTAGTTAGAAGACCCAGTTCCAGACAAAACTCACCTTAGTGAGTAGTAATTTTAATTTCTAGCTTTTTAAATAGTATTATCACCAGGGCAAAGCCGTAACTTTATTTGCAGTTTAATTGTTGCTTTCTCTTGGGGACTTAGCTTTACTGTGATAGATCTGAAGAAAGACACTGTTTTCATCTGTGCACAAGAAAAATGAAAAACCGAAAGATTGGGTTAGTTGTGCCTGAAGCGCTGCACACAGGTGAAATCTCAGAACTACATCATTTGAAAGCGGTTTGTTTGCTTGAGTCTTTAATTTTCACATGTGAGCCTTTGTTTACAATTTAAAAGAAAAGACAAGAGAGGGAGTGCTGAGAGGCAGGAGGGCTTTGGGCCTCCTGGTTCTGATTTTATAGCCAGTGATGTAGCTGCTTACGTACATGGTGAGCATCAAACAGAGCTGGGACTGTGGCTTTGGAGTACTGGTGTAATACTGAAATGAGGAGAAAATCAGAAGCAAGAGCAGCCCCTGAGGATTTGGGTAGGAGTCGTAGCCGAAGGAAAGGGTTCAAGTCTGGATATGAGAGTGCTCTTGAGTTTGGATAGGTTTGTGATGGTCAAAGTACCAAAAGCATCATTAGGCATTAGGTGTCATTTATCCTGACACTCTGTCATCTTGTGCTTCTCTTCTGGCTGCTTCCATCCAGGACACGCATGCCCATCTCGTGGGTAACAGATCCTGTCTGTCCTCTTGGCTTGGTCCTCTTAGAGAGGGGAGCCAGGGTCCTCCAACACATGGATCTTAAAGCTCTGAGGGACTTGATTAAGATTTACTGTGCGTACAGAGCAGCACTAGTAATTGCTCAGAAATGAAGATGCTCACAGGGAGTAACCGGTGGCGGCCACGTGGTTGCCTTGTCCTGCACGGGAGAAAACTCTGGACATCCTCAAAACGGCTTCTTCTAACTATTGTCAAATACCGATTGATTTACTTTTAAACAGCAACTGCTGCTTTTTCTCTCCTAAAATTTGTGCAGACAGGGTTCACGATTAACTCGATGCTGCCTGTGCCGCTAGAGGGTATCGTGGAACTGCTGTCACCATGCACGGACCTTCAGTCAAACGTCACAAGCTGATCGTGCTGCTTGCTGCCTGTCCCTGTTCCTCGGGTGCCTTCGTGCTTGGGTGTCAGCCAGATGAACTGTTCCATGGCCAAAAAATCATCACCGATTCAGGGTTGCGTAGGTTGCTGAGTGCTGGCAGACCATGCACACTGCTTGGGGTGCAGGTTTGGGCTTGCTCCATGACCAGCTTAGAGTGATCCTGCACATCAGCTGGGGTTCTAGCAGCTCCTATGGTATCATAACTTTGGGGGGAAAAGGAAACAAACAAACAAAAAAAACCCACCACCTTGATGATTTTAGCCGTTCTCCTTCAGTTAGAAATTAAAGAGCTCTGCAGTGCTTCAAAGCTCAGGGAGAAGAAAAAAGAAACCCTCAGCCACGTGCACTTGCTGCGAAACTGCGGCTTTAGTCCTTTGTGAAGGGGGAGGTTTCTACTTAAGTCTGTGGGTTTCGCTAAACAAATTCTGTCAACTGTAAAGTCATCGGCAAAAACTGCACTATTTTGTCTTCCTTATGTAATCATCTCCCTGAGGGCAAAATGTATATGGCAATCACATCTTCTGGGGGGGGGAAATAAAATTCCTCTTTCAGATTTTGTAAGAATTAAAATAAGAATTTTTTTTGCATAGATTTCTGTGTCTACACCGAGACTGGTAGGCAGGAAGATTGCAGGAGGCTGTTAGGTTACTGTGGCAATCAGTTGGCAAAAAAATAAAGTTAGAAATCTTTTTTTTTTTGTTGGACTGCCTGGTGTCTGAGTGCCTTGACCAGACCTGCGATGTGCCTGGCATCCCTGCCTGCAGGGAGCCCAGTGCAGGGACTCTGCTCTGCAGTGGCAATGGAAACTGCTCAGTGGGTTTGACCAGCGCTGGTAGTACTTCATTGTGTGGTAGATGTTAACACTCCTTTAAAAATAAGCTCTGCGGAGGGCAAAATGGCAAGAGCTCAGATAGCTCTTGGAGGCTAACACAAATTACTGACACTAGCAGATGTCTTATGGCTGTTGAACATTGCTGTAGTGAGAGATGTGAATTTTTATGGGTGTCTTGATGGCACTTGAGCAGTCTCAGCACTGAACAGACATTTCTGAGTGCTTTCTATGTGAGTGTATCATAACCGCTATACTGAGTATAGGTGAAGTTCTGACGTGTGCAAGGAAATTTACAGGTTCATGCTTTGAATGAATATGAATAACTTCAATTCATGTTTTACAAAGTTAACCCTGCCAGTAGGCATTCCTAGGGCAGGGAAAGGAGGAAATACTGTTGTCTTCAGTACCAACAAGGGACGGCATTGATCAGATTGCCCTAGGGATACATCCAGGATTCAGTGTGTACATTTATTATGGAAAAAAAACCCATAATTTGGAAATTATTACTCTATATTAAGGGCAGCCCTCTGTGCACATCCTTGCTTTTCCACTATTTCCTGCAATTATCGGTGCCCAATTGAAAAATTCAGAACAAGTTTCAAGCCTGTAGACGTGAGGTACCCTAGCATGAACTGAAGGTGTGACAAGATGTTCATCCAAGAGTGCTTGTGATGGCCTTCCTCAGTCAGAAAGGATTGTGGGTGTCCACATCATGTTTATTAAGGAGCTCTGTTGCTTTGACTTATTTTCCTTGCTGTAATTTCAGACCTGCCACATTTGTGTTGGAGCTATTACTTACTTGCTTTCTGCACAACTTTCCAGCTATGCTTAGTCGGCATGTTGACATGAGAGATGGGGTGTTTGCAACCTTGTGTAGGTTTTGAACAGATATTGAGTAGATTGAAGAGAGAAATCAGTGGGTAAAGGTCTTTTGCTGAGGCATCACAGACACAGACCTCTTGTTTCATTGAAGTACCAGCCTTTACAGGCAGTAGTTTACAGATGCTAAGCAATTTAGTCCCTTTTTTTAGCAAACAAGATGTCAGAGGATGGGGAGGTGGAGTTCAGAGAGGCGTATTTGGGTGGGATATTGTATATTAAAGCTTTTTGCCCCAAGTGACATCCCCAGCCTTTCGTTGTGGTAAATGAGAAGTGCAGCGAGGGAAAAATAAATAGCTCTGCAGATTCTGCAAAGGCTAAAAGAGATATTTTGAAGGAGCACATGGAGACACCGAGATCGCTGTTGGACAGGTTTTCCAGGTGGTTTTGCAGCCTGCGCCAGATGCCCTCCTATTTTCTCGTTATTCCCTTGTTCCCTGTGTATAAAGCAAGATAGGATCACAAGCAGAAAACATGACGTACGGCAACTTAATTTTTTGGTCAAGACTTGAGGCTGTTGATGGAGGAATTAATAGACCTCACTGGAAAAGAAAGAACACAAAATTGACCTTAAAACTGTACTGCGTTGGTGATGCAAGGTGTTCTGCCAGCCAGGCTCTTGCCTTGTAAGAAAATAGGAGATGGGCTTCGCTACCGTGGAATAATAGTACAAGGTTTTATAACAGGTTTGTTCAAGATGGTTTAAGTGTTGCTGGGTTTGTTCAAGAGCCAAAATAACGTGTCTGCCATTGTTGAATTTTTCTTGCAGAACGGTGGTAATGCCCATTGCCAATGAATTTGCCCCAGATGTTGTGCTGGTGTCATCTGGTTTCGATGCGGTGGAAGGCCATCCCACACCTCTTGGAGGATATAATCTATCAGCAAAATGTAAGTTGTGGATTTACAAGAGCAGAGATCCAAAACTGGTGTAAATTGCTGCTGTCCTAGGGACTGAACTACAGGTTTTACTTTTTGGAGTCTATCTTCAAATCTTTCATTTCAGTGGCAAACTTTTCATCCTTTTTCGTTGCTTTTTCATCTGTTCTGTCACTGCACCTTATATATTTGGGTCTGACTGAAGCCGCCGTTGTCTTGAAGCATTGCAGATTTCATTTTCATGTGCGAATAAATTATGTAAGGAAGTTAAAAGTCATTTGTAGTCACATCTCTGTAGAAGACAGCTGCAGAATTAGTTATGCTTGTTTTAATGCAAAATTTCTGAAATAGGTAGTGCCAGATGTAAACAGGTGTGATACAGGGAAGATCTGATGATGATTCAGGTTGCTCTGAATGTTCGTAGAAGACCATTTCTTCCTCCAGGATGCCTTCTTAAAAATTCGAGCTGAATATTGTTGTTCTTCACCTTTTGAAGCAATTAGACTGGCCCACAAGAACCTCCTTTTTTGGGTTGGATCCATGATATTTTGCATTGCACAGGAGATACACTGAAGTTTCCCCCTGCCTCGCCTGCCCTTCAGCTATGCTGGGTTTATCTGGCACTGTTTCATTCAAGTCAATTGAGAAGACAGTTTTTCTTGCAAGAGGATTTTACTATTATTTTTTAAGAGTTTGCTTCAGCCAGGAAACTTATTCTCTGTGGTGAACTTCAGAACCTCATAAGGTAGATGACCCTATAAACTTTATATAAGAATAAAGTGAAATAGATTTACAAGAGACAAGTTATTTAAGATGTCCAGAAACACTTTGTAATGAGAAGGTCTTGTTTACCTGCTTGTTGAATTTCCCATGCTCTGCTACTCTTGCAAAACAGTTATGGGCTCAGTTCTGAATCTTTTTACCTGGCTGTTAATTTGCCAGTTTGCAAAGGTGCTTGTGGGACTCAGCTGCAAAACAGAAAGCAGGGAGCACGGATAGAGGGTTGAAATGCCCTGGTTTTTCTTTTCCTTGGAGTTTTTTTTTTTCTTGGAGGAGGAAGGTTGCTTTGAGGACACGTTTTATAAATCCTCACAGCTTGGTTCTGTTTTGTTTAAAGGGTAGAAATGTATTGTGTGTCATATGATCAAAGTCCTGGGTGCCCCAGGAATTTTTATAGCATATTATATACGGGAAGAAACGTCTGTTAAGAACTACATGTCAAATATCTCTGAGGCACTGCGATGCTGCTATCACAACTGAAAGCACCGGCAGCAATTTTACTGATTTCCCCTTCCCCTCCTCCCTCCCCCTTGACTGCTCGGACTTTGCATCTCATAAAGCAGGGCAAAAAGCTGCCTCCTGCCCTCCCTCTTTCTTTCCTTCCTTCCAAGGGAGATACTGGCTGCTGTATGTATAAATTTGGGGTGCTGAGGGGTTCAGGGAGGATGGCAGTGCCTCTCACCTGGGATAAACTCCAGCAAAGCGTTGCTGGGGGAGATAACGTCCCCATCCTGCAGCGCGCACGGCTGAGCCGCTTCAGCGGGGAGCTGCGGCTGGAACTCTGCAGCCAGCGTATTAAAATCCAACCTGGCTTATATTATGTGTTGAGTCCTTTCAGATCCCTTGTGGTTTTTTTAATATGATGTAATTCCTTTCTATAACGCTTTGATCCTTCGCCAGGAGCCTGATTCCAGCCGCAACCTTTGCCCTTCTCCTGCATTTCCTCTTTTTCCCTCGTTACAGGCTTTGGGTACCTGACGAAGCAGCTGATGGGCCTGGCCGGAGGCCGCGTTGTCCTGGCCCTCGAAGGAGGCCACGACCTGACCGCCATTTGTGATGCCTCAGAAGCGTGCGTTTCTGCTTTGCTGGGAAATGAGGTACAGAGACAGGCAAAATTGGGGGCCACAACCTCCTATCCCCTTTGAATTCGGGCACCTCATCCTCCAAGATGGTCAATCCGCCAAATTTTTGTCGTCGTTTTGGGTCCTTTTGACAGATGTTGATTTAAAGAGTGCGTGTGGACAGCAGGATGACCATGAGCCAGCA